TTTGGTCAAGATATTGTGGTGGTTGTCCTAATTTCAGATGGCATGGAAGGGTATTGATGCAAGTGGGCACATCGTCCTTCTGTCCCTGTGGTTACTATATTTCTGCAGTTAATATAATAATAATAATAATAATAATAATAATAATAATAATTCTTATATCCCGCCTTTTGCCTAAGCAATCAATATGATTATTACAATTATTCTGCAGTTGAGAATTTGGTTGGTTAACATATCTAAACAAGAGACTCAACTGCCAATATAAATAGTTCCTCCTAATGCCAGGATGGGCATCCTGTCACCCATGCCTTGCCAGTCCCAATAGTCTTAGGCTGAATCCACACTGCAGAAATAATACAGTTTGATGCCACTTTAACTGCCATGGCTCCATGCTATGGAATTCCTGCAGTCTGTAGTTCTGTGAGACATTTAGCTTTGCCTGGCTGTACCCACGCTGCAAAAATAAAGCAGTTTGACATCATTTTACCTGCCATTGCTCCATCCGACAAAATCCTGGGATTTGTAGTTTTGTGATGCACCATGGCAGAGAAGACTAAAGATCCCAGGATTCCATAGGGTGGCACCATGACAGTTAAAGTGGTGTCAAGATGCTTTGTTTCTTTAGCCTGGATGCATCCTAAGTCAGGGAGCCGTGGTGCCACAATAAACTACAGTTCCCAGAACCCTGTTGCATGGAGATAAGGCAGTAAAAGTGGTATTAACTTGGATTATTTCTGCAGTGTGGATGCACCCTGCCCATTAAGGCTGCATCAACTCTGATGAAATAATCCAAGTTGACACTGCTTTAACTGCCATGGCTCATTGCTATGGAATTCTGGAAGCTATAGCTTTGTCAGACATTCTGCCAGAGAGCTCTGGTGCCCCAGTGAACTACAAATCCCAGGATTCCATAGCATTTGTTTTGTTTAGACAAGCATTTAAAACAAGAAATTTTTAAAGAAAGTCCTGGGATATGTATATGTTGTTTTAAAATGTATATTTTTAAAGTGATGTTATCTTTTTAAAACTGTATTCTATTTTTAAACAAATGGCCTTTTTAATGTTGTAGTTTAATACCATTTTAATTGTCAATTTTGTAAGTTCTTAATTGTACAGTGTTTTTTAGACTGTAAGCCACTTTGGGTCCCAATCTTGGCAGAAAAGTGGCATAAATATAGTATGCTGATGATGATGATGATGACGATGATGATGATGTGGTAGTTAAAGTGGGGTCAACCCGGATTATTTCTAAAGTGTGGATGCAACCTGAGGTTCAGGTCCAAAACACACTGCAGGAATAATCCAGTTTGAGACTGCTTTAACTGCCCTAGCTCAGTACTAGGGAATCCTGGGAACTGTAGTTTATTGTGGCTCCAGAGGTCTCTGACAGAGGAGGATCAATGTCTCATAAAACTATAGTTCCCAGAGTTCCCTAGCAATGAGCCAGGGCAGTTAAAGCAGTCTCAGACTAGATTATTTCTGCAGTGTGTTTTGTAGCACAGTCACTATCCTGCTTTAACTAACTGCCCTGGCTCAGTGCTATGGGATCCTGGGAACTGTAGTTTTGTGAGACATTTAGCCTTCTCTGTCAGAGAGCTCTGGTGCCACAGCAAACTACAGTTCCCAGAATTCCATAGCACTGAGCCATGGCAGTTAAAGCAGGATAGCGACTGTAGGTCCAAAACATTCAGCAGAAATAATCCACTTTGAGACTGTATAACTGCCCTGGCTCAGTGCTAGGGAACTCTGCGAACTGTAATTTGTTGTGGCACCAGAGCCACAACAGAGAGGGCTCAATGTCTCACAAAAGTACAGTTCCCAGGATTCCTGAGCACTGAGCCAGGG